AGACAGCTGATAACTCATTCCCGTACGTCGTAACTGTATAATGACCTTTGCTTATTGTCACATGTGCGCCCCATTCGCGATTGTTGCCGACGCCTGTTTGCAGGTCAGCCCACTACAGTTGTTATACATATCGAAAAACCGATAAACTTTTAGGCGAAAAAGGCACTATTCCAGGCCCATTTTTGCTTTTTTTGCGATATTAGGTAAAAACAGAAGCTTCTTATCCTAGGAAAAATAAAATGGGAAATCTTTCAAAGGTGGCACACTACCTTTAAATATACATAAGTTACCTTCGTGACGAAACTCCAAGGAGCCTCATAGGAATTGAGCGTTATTTTTTTTTCATGAAAATAGGTACTTATCTAGGTATCAACATTTACCACGTTAAATTAACGGCTATAACACTGATTTTGAAGATAAGCATAAAAGGAACCGGTCCTTATTTTATCTATCACCAAGGGATAAACAGTTAAACATGTTCTAACCGAATCCTATGGCGTATGAACGAGCATGAACGCAAAACCATTGCCTCCACAACCTACTATACCATAGCGACATATGACACTCTGTAGCCCACAATCAAAGGCACTCACCATTACATTCCTTGGTATCATTGTAGTTGCACGCGACCTCCTGAAAAAATACACAGGTATATTGAGTTTGTTATACATGCCCTGTCAATATCGTTTCAAAAAAAAAAAAAAAATCTGCTGTACCTATGTTACTTTCATTGCAATGTGAGTATGCAGAACGGTTGTTAGAAAGTCTCAATCTAGATTAATGGATATTAAACATATAACAATTGAACACGTTACGAGTAGTCACAGGATAGTTTTTGGCAGAAAGATGGAACGATCGACCTCACTCATCCCTATTTATAGCTCCGGGCTGCTCGCACCAAGAGGTACAGAAGGTTCTGAATGTTCATTCAATGCAGCCCAACTATAGAACATATGCAATTCATTATTGTTTGAAAGTTTTCACACTCTAAGTAGGTATACATATAGAACACGGCTGGCAAACGGAAGGCGGCCTCAGCGCAGCTCATAGCTGCGCAGGGGTGTGTCTCTCATGACATCGGTAGGAAAAAATGTTTGAATATATAGGTGGATGCGCGGAGCAAACAATGAACAATGAACATGCCGTCAGCGAGAACGTTTCCGTTTTCAGAGCCGTGCAATATGACTGAGCGGCAGCGGAAGCTTGATTCAATCTGATGCATTCTATATGGTACATTGTTTCGTAATGAGATCAGTCGTAAAATATGGAATGCTACAGAGAGATGAGTCCAACTGCGCAGATGTTAATGCGCATGATAGGAATATCATAGCTATACAGAAGTCAGAACAGTACATACATATTTGCTGTGAATATTCACATTTGATGTCAACTTAAAGACGTATTTAGAAGTAAGAAAGATACATATTACATACCTATATGACATATGTACTATGTAGCTACATGTACCTATATGCACCTTCAACCACTTAATTCTAAGAATGAGATAAACTTGGAATGCACGTATACTTACTTCTTCTTACTGAGCAGCCTGCGCATTTTTTTTTCACGAAGGTTTCTGCAGGTTACCTTCGGTCCAAATCGTCACACCCACCGAATCACAGTTCGGTGACATCACCTGACCAGGAAGCAAATGTACAGCCCACCGCTAAAGTAATGTAGGGTTTTACCAATCTCAACGGCTGGCTTTGACTGGCGATTGTTTAACCCGCGCCCCGTAGGGCTACCGGCGGACCCTACCACCCGTAGGGGGGGGGGGGGGCGTTTCGGCCCCCCCTAAGATCTCGGAAAGTTACCGGCCGATTTTCAAAATTCAAACGGCGTTCGATAGCCCCACCCGGGAACTACCTTGTGACCAAATTTCATTGACCTAGGTCAAACCGATGACGTCACAGGTCAGGTCAAAGGTCAGATTTTCACCGTTCACAGGCATTTCAAGAAATGTGTTGTGAAATCGAGTTAATTGGTAATTTATTGAAAACCATCGATGGTACATTGTTCGTCAAACACATACTTTGCTATCTGAGGTCACTGATACCAGGTCAGGTCACAGCGAGGTCAGGTCACCGGGATCACAATATGAAAGTGTCGTGTGATACATGTTTTATGGTCCATTTTACATGACAAATGCGATTATGTGGGTTAGGCAGCCTTTGGGGCCAGCCTAGGTCACGTTTTGGTGAAGGTCAGGTCAAGGTCAGGTCAAATAAGGTCAAATTTCAAAGTTGATATTTTTGCATAAAATGGGTATCTATTCGATGCAGCTTGTCACGGGGAGTCTAATGGTGGTCTTTGTTTTGCTCTACGAGGTCTAGAACTGCAAAAAATTGAGTTTGAAAATTTGACGTCATCAATTTTGAAGTTTTTTTTCGCTATAACTTGGCCAAAAAACGAGGTATCGATCTGAAATTCGGTATGTAGATAGAAGACGGTAGGTACTATCACATATATTCCGTTTTTTTAAACTCAAAAAACTTTTTGGATTTTTTGGCTAATATATCCAAAAAAATGTTTTTTTGATTTTTGGGGTTCAAAACTCAAAAATTTCAAAAATCCGAGACAGCAGTTTTGTAGCCCTGTCAATTCTACACCTTTCATGTCTTGATCATTTTTCTGTAGCTTCAAAGCTGTAGGCCTGACAGGTCTTCTCGCGAAGGTCTTTATTCGGTCGAAAATGACAGAACATGACGTCATTCTGACGTCATTTGTGGCCAACCTATCATAGCCTGTGGAAAAATTTTTGGTCACAATGTGTAAAATTGATGCCCGGAGGGGTCCTGAAAGTTTGGTGGCGATATCTGAAGCGGTTTAGGAGATATCGACCGAAAAGGACAGGGGGGGGGGGGCGTTTCGGCCCCCCCTACGGGGCGCGGGTTAATGCGGAGTGATCGAAAAGAAGATGTCAATAGCTAAAGTTGCAGCTGCAAGGGTGACGATACATATAAGCTACATTCAAAGTTTCATTGTAGTCTGGCTAATCGTTCCTAAGCTTCAGAAGCAGAACATACCCATGACTGAAACCCCACATTACTTCTGCTGTGGACTGTACATACCGAAAAATATGTATCGTGGATGTGTGTCTTTATCAGTTTTAGGGCGAATGCTCCGATTAGCGACCCCCTCAGGTTGAAGCCCGCTCTAGCACAGTCCGTCTGTTCGTTTGTACCTACTGTATTTTTTTTTTGTCGTAAATCATAGGGTATTATATCTAAAAAAATATGTTATTCAACTTTTGAGGTCAAAATCTAAAGCAAAAAAATAGGAAAAAATAGCGAGATTGCAACTTTTGTGGCACTGATAATTCCACAACTTTTTTGTGCTAAACATGTTTCTGTGCCTTCAAAACTGTAGGCCTGAGTGTGACAGCTCTTCTCGTAAACCTGTTTTGAAGAGACAAAATGACAGAACATGACGTCATTCTGACGTCATTTGTGGTCAACCTGTCATAGCCCGTTATAAAATTTTTGCTCACAAGGTGTAAAGTTGGTGCTTGGAAAGGTCTTGAAAGATTGACTACAATGTAATCTGCAACACTTTAGCAGATATCGAAAGCACAGAGAGGGGGGCCTGTTTCGCCCCTCCCCTTCCCCCAACAGGGCGCGGGTTAACTAAGCAATCAGACATATCATATGTTAGTTTAAGCCCGAGTCAAGGGGAGGATACGGCCCACTTGCTATTTTCCTCTTAATTTAACCTGATTATCACTAAAATTAAGCATGTTGAAGGTTTTGACGCCCAGCGAATGGCGAATTTATTGAATTTAACCATGCCCTGCTAGAGGTGTTTAAATACGTTCCTTCCCGTTGTTTTGAATGTGTTATTAAGAATAGTGACATTTAGCGTCATTGTTTTGGGCGCTTAAGCATTTAATTATTTCTCATAGCCTGAAAATATTACATACATAGTTTTGGCTACCGGGTCAACTAAGACCAAGTCATCAGATAACGGTTGACCACAACTCAAGAAAAAAGCAAATGGTCGCGCTGCAGCTTTATCGTCAGTTCCATTGCTTTGAAACTTAATATTGATAACGGTGCCATGGTTACCCTGTCACCGGTGTATTAAGCATGAGTACATAGATTTTATACACAAATCTTGAATAATTCAGGCCGTAGTCACTAGCATACCTGCCTGTTCGGTTTCGGTGACGTGATCGTGTGAATTGTGTACCTTTTCTGAGGAAACCATTTGAATAAATTTGTTGTTTTGGGAGTATTTTTTTCGTAAAGTTCGGGAACGCTTAAACGAAACAATATAATTTGTATGCATAATATCAGTGGCGGATCCAGGGGGGGGGGCAAAATGGGCATTTGCCCCCCCCCAAACGGCATAATTTTAACATTACGCCTATGGACGATGCATGGAAAGAATCGATAAATTGTTATGGTTTGCCCTCCCCCCCAAAAACTCTGAGCTGGATCCGCCTCTGCATAATATTATCTCATAAATGCTTTTCAACTACCGTAAGTGTTTACATCATGATGGCAGCCAGCCTGCGCGTAATTTCTCGTGACGCCACTTGGTATTTATCGCCTTGGTAGGTATAACTTAATTCTTATATAACTATACCTCAAACTGATTCTGAAACACTGGCAGCGGGCTAAAAAAAAAAATTCGCGCACACCTGTGACACCTCTTGTGAAAAACTGTTCTAATGCCTGCTACAACCTCCAACACCAGCTCCTCCCATCCGACTCGTTAATCTGTCCCCACCCAAAACGGACCCAAAGACCCCCCCCCCCAACTCGACCCCTTCCCCATCCCCTACCCCCCGGGCCCCACTCCACGTGTATCCTAGATTCTCACAATCGGCCGTTTGCAGCATTCATGGCTTTCATGGTCCATTCTTTCACAAATTAACCAGCGTGACCTGGACATTTGACCGGACACAGTATTGTCGCATATCGCATACTGTGCAGTACATACCCGCTGACCCGAGAAGGACAGACAGATATAAAAGAAGCGCAGAGCTGCACAGTGGCACAGCTGAGGCTCCACTTCAGTACGACACAGTCCAAATAGTCGGTTTTGTCTAAACATCTCTCTTATTTTACCATGATGAGTTTCAGATCTGCTCTCATTGCCGTTCTTTTGGGTTCTGTTTTGATGTTAGCGGTAGAGGCTGGTCGAGGCTGCGGAAGAGGTCGAGGACACGCCTACGGCTGCCACGGAGGGGGAGAAAAAAGCAGCGAGGAGAGCGGCAGCAGCAGCGAGGTAACGTCATGTTCAGTGATGAACCATGTTTATGTATGAACTAATTGACCTGAACGTATTAGTCCCGCCAAGCAACAGCCACTGCTAATAAATCTCTAATTTGTGCACTGCTTACAGTATAAAAACTTCAAGTAATAATGAACTGCCTATATTTGCTATAGTTCACTGTTCAGCTCCATTGAATGAACATTCAGATCCTACCGTACCTCTTGGTGTGAGCATCCCGGAGCATGAGTGTGAGGCAATGGATAAGTGAGGTCACTCGCTCCATCTTTCTGCCACGGTCGATAGAAACTATACTGTGACTAATGTGTTAAATTGGTATTGTTCATCCATCCCTTCTAATTGGGACCTTCCAACAACCATTATGCATACTCACATTGCAATGATGTATATAAGTAACATTACGGCAGATTTGCTCCTTTTCCTTGAAAAAATTATTGGGCATGTATGACAAACACAATATATGTATTTGTTTCAGGAGGCCGCGTGCAATTATAATGACACCAAGGAATGTAATGGTGAGTACCTATGAATGTGGGTCACAAACGTAATGTCAAGTGTCGCTAGTACGCAGAGGTAATGGTTTTGCGTTGATGCTGGTTCATACTCCACAACATTCGGTTAGAATGTGTTTGTCCTCTGGTGACAGACATAAGCCGGTTATATTCAAGCTTTCATTCAAAATCAAAGTTATGCGCCGTTTATCTACCGGTGGTTGTACCTAGGGGCAAGATTACTTTACTAATACGGGAACTAATACAGGCACAGGTAATACATGTACATACTAATACAGACCTAAAGGTACCCGTTTTCAAGAAAATCCCTCTTATCTCCTATAAGGCTACTATGTATAGTCCGGTACAAAGTTTACTTATCTTAAATTGTTTTTATTATCAATGCTCGTCTTGCATCTTCGCTAAGGCCTTCACAGACGGACCAAGGCCATATAACAGACGGACTACACACACACACACCACACACACCCCCCCCCCCCCCACACACACACCCCACACACACAAAGTTATAGCTCATGCGTACCCCTGTTCCTTTTCAGATAACGACGCTGACACGTGCGTTTGTCCAGAGGGGTTCACCCTCTGCGGCGGCAGCTGCTGGCGCTACGAGAACTCCTCTCTCATCTCCTACGCCGACGCAGTGTCGCTCTGTGCCAGCCTGGGTGCCGAAGTGGCGCTCCCCACCTCCGCTGCCGAGAACCAGTGTGCTGAGTGTGTGACGTCCAGCTCCTTGGGTGCCGGATCGGACTCCGGGGCACGACGACGCTGGATTCCTTCGTCACCTCTGACGGCTCTGCTCCAGCCTACACCAACTGGCATGAGGATCAGCCAAACCTTAGCGGATGCGAGCCGTATAACTGCGATAACTGCGCGTATGTTTCTGCCGCCGATGGCAAGTGGTATGTTTACCGCTGCGATTTCATCTATCTTACCCTTTGTCATACGCGGACCTGCTGTGCTTAGTTGGACTTGGGATAACGCTTCCGAAATAATGACTCTTCTTTGGTGTCCTTATGGGATATTAATGTCTTTAACAGATATCTATATCTGTAGATATCTTGACTGAAAGTTGGATGGCAAAAATTGTGTAGCCCAATTTCGTCTAATACTTTTTACTCATCTTCTTTTACATTTGTCATTTAACGTAATCAGTTTGGCTGCTCACAGAATAGCCACATCTTGAATCTATTTCTTTTTACCATTAATGTAAAAACTGCACTTCTGGGTAACGTTGTCATTATCTATAAAGGAAGCCCCTAATGTTGCATAAGACAAAAAAATGACATGCGATCTAGCGACGATGATATATGGAGAAGAGGAAGAGAAAGGAGTGAGAAGCAGTGAAAGGAGGAGATGGGAAAGGGAAGAAGACTAGAAAAAAGAAGAAGACCATGAAGGAAGGGCGAGGAAGGAGGAGTAGGAGATTGGAAGTTTTTTTTTTGCTTTGGGGACTTACACCTGTTGTCTGCTATGTAGTTTGACGTCTTTTTCTTTCGCCTTCCTTACCTACCTATACCTACATATATTCAGTTTAGTTGGCGGTGGTAGTTTTTCCGCGTTTGTGTCGGTACACGGGTTAATCAATGTTACATACCAATGGTGCTTGCGTCTCAAAAATGTTTTATTGCATGCCATTTTGGTCGTAGTTTGCACTTGGCAATATATCAAATGTGCACTTTATGATGACTTTTCCATATTTTGGTTCCGACTGTAATGCCTATCTTTTGATCTCAGCTCACTAACGCGTTATGGAATGATAATTCGTCGGACAGCGTGCCAATTAGTTATCCCATGGTATGAGCTCAAGCCATGTGGAGCCGGGGCTGTTTAGAACGGTTCACGTCATCAAAGAGCGGACGCGGAGAGGAAACGATAAAGTTCCTGTCTGCCCTCTAACGGCCGAATAACTGGTACAAAATGATAGATATGCATGAAGCAGATGAATGACTATAAAGTAAGATAAACAACTAATACTTGATACTTGAACTAAACCTGATACCAAATAACTCAAATAATGACTGAGTATCATGGGGCAGCTTTGCAAATGGTTGGTGTGAAGAAGTCACCGCCAAACACACTAATAGCCGTTTTCACGACGGGTCGTTGGCGAATGCACCAAA